CTCTATAGTCTGCACTTCAGCACACTCACATGTATTTATGTCATTTGAGTAGCCCCATTTGATCATTTTTGTTTTTGATCTTCCAGTTTGCATGTGCAGGCAGTTCAGGCATCACCATGTTGACCAGTCTGTATCAACCCCTCTAGGAAGGTCCTCCTGGGGTTCCAGGTCTATTAAAGGGCACCTGATTGTGCATAATCTTTCTTTCCATAACCTCAGTTGTGCCCTGTCAACCACTGTGTCCAATGGTACAACACTGATCACAAAACTCTTTCACACTTTAAGCCATTTGCTTACTTCTGTGTGACCACAGAGTGGATGCATGGGGTCTTCTATCTGCCATTATCTTTCTTTCTGGCTCACTACCTTTCTTCTGATATCAAGTAGTGCAATGCCAGCCAGTAAGTACAGGCTATCCTTTGATGTTGGCTTTAGATATCCTATTATTTCACTACAGCTGTCATTTAAAACTGGGTCTAGTTTCTTGGCATGGACTGATTGTTCCCATATTGGATATACATACTCTGAAATGGAGTGACAAGCACAAAGCAATAGCAGTGGTTTGTAATGTAGCTGGATTCGCTCCCCACTTTGAGGTGACTAACTTTTGAAGCATGTTGTTACAGGCACTGGTTTTCCCTTTCATTTTCTCTACATGTGCTTTGAAGGAAAGTGTTTGGTCCAATGTAACCCTGAAGTACACAGGGTTCAAGTGATTAGTCAGTGGGATTCCATCCCAGGTGATGTTTAATTTCCACTTGGCTTCTCTATGGCATAAATGAAAGGCTGTGACCTGCATCTTGGGTTGGTGCAAAGCTGGTTCTTATTGTAATCTGAGAGATTGCTCAGTGCGTGTCAGTCTGTTCTTGACAGTGGCAAAGTCCTTCTCTTGCAAAGTGATGCATAGATCATCAGCATATATGAAGCTCCTCATATTGCTCTGTATGGGCTGATCATTGGTATTTATGTTAAAGAGGATTGGTGCAAACACACTGCCCTGTGGAAGATCATTTTGTTGTTGTCTCCAGATGCTCCATTTCTGGTGTAGTTCTACATAAAATTGTCTGTTCTCCAAAAAAAGATTGAATGAGCTGGTCTAAGTGGTATTTGTTTATCATATCATAGACTCTGGCAAATGGTTTCAGTAGTTGACTGTATCGTATAGTGCTGATAGATCTACAAACACAGAACCTATTACCATCTCTTTCGCAAATCCATCTTCTGTATACTGGGTGATGTTTAGTATTTGACCAGTGTAAGATTTGCCTAATCTGAATCTGGCTTGTTCTGGTATTCGATATTGTTCGATATGTGGTGAGTAGTGACTGAGAATAAGGTATTTGTAAAGCTTATAAAGATGGTACAGGGGTGACACTGAAGTTCTCTGGGCCAGAGGCATCATTCCCTGGCTTACAAGTAGGTAGCAAAATAGGGACTTAATGAGGAGCCAAGGATTGAGTCTTTTGTTTCTGTTCTCTTTTACCATAGCAAGATTTTAACAACCCTACAGAATTCAGGAATTCCCCAAAGTTGCCACACCAGGATAGCTAAAAATCACTCGTGTTCCCCTGCCAGAGGGATAATAAGTAACTGGTGTAGCTCTGATGCCACTCTTAAAAGCTGCTGACTGTTTAATGGTGATCTCAAGATTTAAATCTGAATTTCTACTGTGTGCACAGACTATCCCATTCTGGTGTTTATAAGTGATAATGGTTTGAGTATGAAGTGACAGTTTTCTTTCTGAAATCAATGAGAGTTATGCTTATGCATGAAAGGAAGAGGAAGGTGCACTTTAAGCCTTAATTATTAATAAAGGCTAGAAGCCAGATGCTCAGCTGGTGTAATCTGTATTTTATCTCTTCTAAGATTTTGTTCATGATTTTGCGATTTTTGTGGAAACTGTGAATTTTGTAAGTCTGTCATGGAAATTCCCAGTCCCCATGAAAAAGCCCCTGGGGACTGTGATAAAGCTAGAAAACAGCTAGCAAGTTGTGGGGGGGAGGGGAGAGAGGGAGTTGCAAAGAGAGGCAGGAAGCCTTAGCATCCTGAAGCACGGGGGGGCAAAGGAGAAGGTGGGGAGGGGAGGAGTCACTGGAGTACGGAGACATCCCCCCACCACACACACATACTTCCAATTGGCCAAGGGGCCCTTAAAGTTCCTCCCCTCCCTGGAAACTGACAGGTGGCCATCTCTTACTTTCCAGGAGGACCTCCCATGCCTCTGATTGTCTGAGAAAAAACAAGGGCAAAAGTAGAGACAAATGCAATATTTTAATTTTGCTGATTTAAAGTGAATTTTCATATTCATTTTTGCATTATAATTTTAAATGTTATTTAATCAAAGTAGGTATTACATACATTATCTATGTCAAAATCTTTTATATCTTTTGGGTGTGTTCCAGCACAAAAAAATTACAAAATATGCAGGTTTCCTTCCTATATCAAGGTCATAGTCGCACACCTTCATATCCTTTGCCAAATGGCACTTCCCTGTCTCATAGTTCTAGCAACAATATGACATAAGATACAGTGCTAGGATTTCCTTCATATGCCACTGCCAGAAAAATCAGTATTGGTGCAGAAAAGACAGAAACACTAGTACAGAATGTCACTAACCTTGTGCTATATGGGAATGAAATCCAAAGGAAGAAATGAATGCAAAAGATCACAGTGGGCACATCTCTATGTGCTATTAATGTACTTTAAGCTTACTGAACAGTAAAATAAGGCATAGTATGCTTGCCCTGGGAATCCATTTACACATGCACCAGGGAATGCATCTACACTGGCAGGCTCAGATTGTCTCTCAATCAGAGTAGGCAGATCCAAGCCTACTCCTGCCCTGCTCTGCCCCCCACTACAGCAGCCAGGGGGCAGCTGCCGGCTCCAGTTACAACTGCTCGAATGCCAGGGACTCTAGGGGAAGGCTCAGCCTGGAACAGGGATCTGGGGGCAGGCTCATCCTGGCAGGGGATACTGTCCTGAGAGCCTGTGGCCAGCACACCATTGGCGCTCCCTGCCCTACCCACTGGTAGTGACAGACAGGGCACTGTGTCCATAAGGCACTTGTAAACCACCTCTTTCTCCACCCCCCCTGCACCTGGTTGGCTGGCTTTGGACCCCAGGCCCACAGGGGAACCCAAGACCATGTGCACTATGGGCAGTTTGCAACAAACATCAAACTTTATTTCCCTCCACCACACAATAACAGACTCCCCTCCCTCCTCAACAGTAGACTCCCTCCTTCCCTCCTCAACAGCACGTTCCCTCCCTCCCTCCCAGCAACACACTCCTCCCTAACTCCAACGTGCACCAACAATAAAAGTCCTGCTTCCCATGCAACTATGTACAATGCACTTTCTGAACTGTAAGGGAAGTATAGGGGGATGGAGGTGAATATGGCATGGAGCCCAAGGAGAGTTACCTAGGAAGCCAGGCAGGCCAGAGGCTCATGCTGGGGTGAGGATGGGCACTGTCCAGCATGCTTGGCTTGCTTCCCCTCCTTCACCACAGGGCCAGGACCAGCAGTTTTGTAGTTGGCTCAACCATGGACAGCTGCTGCTCATGGTGGCTGGGCAAGTGGCCCAGGTGACCCAGGTTGGGGACTAGGCTACTGGGGTCCCTCCCTCCTCAACAGTAGACTCCCTCCTTCCCTCCTCAACAGCACGTTCCCTCCCTCCCTCTGTAATGGCCCTTTCTGGAGAGGCACCCTGGGCCAGCGACCTTGCTGTGTGTGGCCTGCGCCCCAAACATACCTCTGCTGAAAGGTCTGCTGGGCACACAACAATGAGCCATTTGAGTGCATAGAGGGGTGCCCAACCCACTATGCCCTACTGCTGCTGATCACCATTGTGCCATGGGAGCAGCTGAAAATGTGGTGTGGGGCCCTGATCTTTGATGGCACCCCAGGCAAGCCAGTGCTTCCCTGCAACATGCACCTCTGCCTGGAGAGGTATCTCTGCGTACACTACTTGCATATACAAGTACTAAATAACTACACAGTACTGGAGTTACTGCACAGTAGTGTCCCTGAATGGCTCTTTGGTCATGCTGACTGCACAGTAGCTTATTACTACTATGCGGTAGCTTGTTACTACTGCGCAGTAGCATCACATCATGCTCCATGCCATGCAACACTATTGCACAGTAGTAACAAGCTCTTGCACACTAGTAATGAGTTACTGCGCTGTTGGTGTCTCATATCAACACAGACACTGTGAGGTTAATCTAATATTTGTATCTACAAGTACCAGCTAACCAAGCAGTAGACGAATTCACTGTGAAGAAAATGCTGTATACATGTAGACTATGATGCTTTATTGTGCATTAGATTAGACTAATGCTCAGTACAGCATCTCATTTAGACCTGCTCAGTGTGGAGGATAAATGCCTTAGTATAGCAAGTCCTTTTGAGTACCAAAAGGAAGCAGAGGATTCCTAAGTGCTCCACTGGTCCTTGTAGTATGTTCTCAATAAACATATAGGTGCAATGAAAACCTGCTCTTAATCAAAATATAACCACCTAATCTGGCTGAGGTTAGCATCAGTTTGTTTTAACACATTAGCTGGTTGGACAAGTGAATCCAACATGAGCACCTCAAGTTTTCAAAAAAGTTGAATGGGTGTATTTGTTGAAAATTCTGAATTGTTAACTGTTTCTCACTTGTGCCATTTTCATATTTTATTTCTTCATTTACAACTCTTTCCTCGTTTGCATTCTCTTTCTTCCCTGCAACAGAGGAGTTTTTCATTTACTGGCTGACACCTGTGGTTTTGAATAGCACCTTTTAATATAAGTTATATGAATGAGATGTGCTGCATGATTTTTCAGTGTATCTTATACAATAATTGACCTCAGATAGACTATCAGTTATTCATGGCCCCTTGCCTCAAAGAGGATCCTAAACAGCCAATCACAATTTAAAGGCATATTATCTTGCCTTAAACACATTTATTCATAGTACCTTTCACAAGTTATTGGCCATTTTCTTTCCCAGAATTAAGGATTATTGAAGCTTGTGCAACAAGAACTTTGTTCTTCATAACTCATCCCCTGTTACTTGCTTATGCAATGAAGCATTATAATTTGCAGAGAGTTGCTTCAGAGGACTTATGACTTCACTGCCTGTACAAAGAAGAGGACAAAGACAAGTCAAGAGGAAGGAAAACATTTACAACTTAATGAGAAGGTAAATCAACTTACATTTACTGCAAATAGGTTGATAGAAAATACTGCTAATGTTCCCTTTTAACTCGGAAGATGAGGCACCTCTCCAAGTTTCTTTTAAATTATGGAGCAGTATTTTATCCAGCCTTTTATTTAAGATGGAATAACTGAGGAGGTATGTACCTAACCCTTAAATCTGAGATTTGGACTAAGGATAGAGGCTCAAGGATATGAAGTGGCAGAGTGGATTAAATCAGAGCAACTCAGCCTTCTTGATCACTTTTATAAAGGCAGGATAGTCTAATTAAGAGAACTGTGGACTAAGGGCTAGACCAGCTCAGTCATTTGCTGAGTGACCAAAGGCTAGTCAGTGCAATGCTCTATGCCTTATCAGCTGGGGAAATCAGATTTATCTCTTGCAAGGTATGAGATATACAGAAGGAAAACAGTAAGAGTGGATGACTTGTCTTACAGGACAGATCCAAATATCACTGAAGTCAATGGAAGTTTCAATTGCCTGAACAAGCTTCCAGCTCTGAAGTTATCAAAATATTTGTTCCCTCTGTTTACCGCACTGAGGACACATGCATTTAAAAACAAAACAGCAATGAGAGAGGTATCAAAACAAACCTGAACAAAACATCAGCCTCTCTGGTTTCTGATTTTCACTTTCTTGTTTGTTTTTGTTTAAGTGACCCTTGTGTGGTAGGATCAGAAAGAATAATATATGATTAATTTCTGTTCTGAAGCCTTGTTTGAAAGGTGCTTTATTTGCATTAGCATTCATAATTACTTAATGACAAATCAGATATGGTTCATTGCTAGTAAGTGTAGAAACATGTTGTCTGAAGGATGTAGTTTAATTAGTATACTCCTAAAAACACGTCCCTCATGACCATTGGATGTAATCATTATTTTATGTATTTAACTGTGAAATTTATATTTACTCAGCAGGCTAGAGAACATCTTTTTTTTTCCAAAGCTATTTTATGCAGCACATTTAGACTTTAGAGAAACCCACAAAATTTCCTAAACAGCAGGTACTAAATAAAAAAAATTAAAACAACTATTATTGCAATGAGGCAAATGTACTTTTAAAAAATATATATATAACCAACATGATATTGCACCCATAAAACACAGAGGGAGGAATAAATATGTAGGGAAGCTCATTTTAATTCCTCAGTTAATAACTTAGATGTAGGAGATGTACATTCTCCTAGATCAATGAGACAATTTGGGTATTCTTTTATTGTTGATTAGTGAATCTGAAGATGACCTTATTTCAAGGGCAGCCAGTGATTTCCCTTTTCTTTATGCTGGCATAATTCATGCTTACTTGTGAACACTTTTTACCAGTGCTGCAATGGAATCCATGTCTGCCCTTTCCTCCCTCACACAGTACACATTGAAAGGAATGAAAAATCACCATGACTTCTGGAGGATGATCTCTGTGATGCTACATGTTCAGAGGTGCATTTTCCAGCCTTTTATGTGGCAAGTCCATCCTCGTTTAAAACTTCTCTCAGATTAAGAGTCCCTTGCTGATTGAGTGTTCCCAGTGAAATCAGTAGAGCTATTCATGGATAAGATGCTGGTCAACCTGTGTAATGGGTGTTAGACCTAATGCTCAATTCCACTGACCTGTTATAAGTTTCCTACACAGAAAAACAAAAGTGATGTGTCAGCATTTTCCTTCTATATTTATTCAATTCACTTTTCTTAAGAACATAAGAGCAAAAGGAGTACAATTTAGTGAGTCAAACCACAGGGCCATCTAGCCCAACATTTTGTCCCAAACAGGGTGCATCTACAGAAGACATTTACTACATAGTTGACCAATTAACTGCACAGTAAACATCTGGGTGTCTACACATGCTCCCCTATCAGGGCCCATAAAACTAATAAACTCAGCAGCAGAGTAGTATAGCACTTGTATTTACTATTTACAAGTACTACCATGCTGAGGAGTATTTTTGTGCACAGAAGCACATGAAGATGCTGCCCTGGCTGGCTGGGGCACAACCTCAGCACAGGGCTAGCAGGTAGGCAGGCAGACAGGCCCCATGCTGAAGTACCCTGCACCCCAGCCGATCAGGGAGCAGCACATGGAGATGGGGAAGCAGGCATCCCAGGGCTGCTCCCCCATCTCTGCATGCTATGGATCCCTTAGGCTGCCTGCTCCCCCATCTCCGTGTGCCTCAGTGGGGACTTCACATCACACACAGACTGGGGAGAAGCCAGCCCTAGGCTGGCTGTTCCTCTGTCTTCACATGCTGTTCCCCAACTGGCTAGCGCACAGGGTGCCTCAACATGGGGGCTGCATGCTGGCACAGCCAGCCCCCATTAAGCACAAGGAGACTGGTTGGAGCAGCTCTGGCCTGGCAGGTTGACCCCCTGGGTCTGCTGCCAGCGCAGACTGCTCTGACTGGGATCCATATGATGTGCACGAATAAACTGGGCACATCTACATGAGCTGCTATGTCATCGGAGCTCATCACTACAGTGATGTAGCATCAGTGGGCATGAACAGTGATGCTGCTGCTACTGTGCAGTAGCTCTTTGCTACTGTGTAGCAGGGTTGGAAGTGACCCATGCAGTGCCGAGACTGTGCAGTACTGGTGGTTACTGTGGAATATTCCACCCACAGCTCCTTTCCCACTGCACCATTCAAGCTTGCTATAACTAGAATAGGAAGTAGGGTATAATACGCTTGAGAGATTTTTTTTTTGTTTGATATTTCCTTCTCTTTATTCTGCATGTATCTCTGACTTCGGTCATAGGAATTCAGAATGGGTTCTCAGTACCTCTCAGGATCAGGAACTTAGATTTTAAAATCTTTTTTTTATAATGAATATAGCTGTAAGTATACTGTAAAGTGTATTCATGGTGCCATATAAATCATCATCATCTAGATTAATTATACAAAGACTTAAGCACTTAAGCTCTTGATACTGATGATGATGATGATGATGATATCTGTTGTTATTTTGATTTTGTGTGGTGACTGAAGATAAATTTCAGCTTCTAAACCCATCATTTCACATGGAAATTACTGGATATCATTTAGTACTGGGCTGTGCGGTTATGATCTAGTTCTTTTCTAGAAAATGCTGAGTGACTTCTAATTTTATTTGCTGAGTGGGTCTTGTGTGATACTTCTGTGTGATAATTCTAGAGATTATTTTGCTTCAATAAGTGAACCGACACAATAAATGAAATATAAATTAAAGCTAACACTGCATGTTGAATCAGGTATCTCCTCAAACTATAACCATTTACTGTACCCTTAACCATGCATGGTTATATAATCTTCATAATCCAAGTAAAGATGTCAGTTTATTTCCATAAACATGCAGAATATATATTCCATCACATCCCTTACAATTTACATCTGAGGAACTGTGTATCAAGATATATACACGAGACACAAAGAAGATTGCAAGTTGCTCTTACACAGATATCCCCAAAGAAACCTCTTCAGGGAACAAGCATTAAGGATACTATATCTGGGATATTTCTTTTTGTTAATACTATAATTATGAATACTATAATTATGATAACAGAAGTTACTATAGTATGGGTATGCAAAAATGACATTCACCTAACTGAAAACAGATTTCTCAGGAGCAAGACTGTATGGATGAGGAAATTAGTGAGAGAAAGACTCAGAAATACATAGAGAGCCTGTTGCAGGGGTGGAGGGCAGGTGGTAAGGATTGGCAAGCTTGTTGGGTGTGGGTTGTTAGAAACCTGTAGTGGGAATAGTTATGGGGAAAAGAGGAAGTGTTCATGTCACAAAGAACTTGTTGAGGCAGATACTGGGAGTAAAGAAGGAGGAACATCCTAAAGGCTCAGAGAAACATTCTGCATCAAAACTTTTGGTGTTTATCCAAACTGAATCAAACATCAGGATATTTGGATGTTCATCCACCCTCATGTCCTGATTTTAAACTGTTCTGTCTGTTGCAGAGAACAATAAATAGAAAATGGAACAGCACTGAATGCATCTAACCTTGTTTTGCTGTTACATTCTTCCTTATACTGAATGAAAAAGTACAGATCCCTCCCATAATTTCAGGAAATATGCATTGAAACTAAAATGTCTATGCATGCCCAATGAGTTCATTGGATCTAAACTTGTAATTGGAAAGGTCAACATCCTCACCACGGACAGTTTCAGGTTGTTAGAGCTACAGATTTTATGTTGTTAATGGAAAAAAAGGATTGCTTTTCCAGCTTCAAGTACGCCACTTAGAACAAAGACAATATCTAAAACACATAGACCAACACCATTATAATCATTATAGCCTAATTTATAAATATATATTAAATGCGTGTGTATACGTGTATGCATGCACACACATGCACCAACTCTCTCATGTGCTGACTCAGAGAGAGAGAGAGAGAGATTTTTTCCAAAGAAAAAATGTAACGCTTGTTAAGATTTTGTTAACTATTTTAGAGCTGTGAGTACGTTATCTAAAATGTTCTCTATAAAATAAGTACTATAGTTAGGATTATAATTAATATTACAGGAAAAAATGCCTAAAATTAGGGCTGTGTTCAGCTTCTGGTGGTGATTCAATTCGAAGGAGATTCGGCCCAATTCGGTGGCCGAATCTCTAAATCCGAATTGAATCAGGGGTCCAATTTAAAGGTCCGAATCGATTCAAAGCTCTCCAAATCTTCGGAAAATATTCAAAGAGCTTTGATGATTTGGACAGTCCCTGGTGGCTGCAGATCCCTGTGGCAGCTGACTTCGAACTGGTAAGTAGTAGGAGCAGCGGAGGGGGAGGCTGGGGGAGGGGAAGGGGGGGAGAGGATCCCTGGTGCCCTACAGTGGCCCACGCTGTAAAAAAAGCTGAGAAAAGCCCCGGGACTCACCATTCCTGCAGCAGCCTCGGGGCTTTGGGGGCTCGTGCAGACCTCCCACGTGGTGTGGGGCAACGGGGGCAGTGGGAATCGCCTCCCACTGGCAGAAGCAGTGAGTCTTGGGGTTTTTTCGTTCTTTTTTTTTCT